GAAAACCCGCGTTACGCATCAGCCACCAGCTGATACATCGCCCAGCCGCTACCGTATAAGCTGGGGAATGAAGTCCGTGCTGGTTTTGATGGTAGTTAGCAGCCAACTCGAGTTAATTTTGCCTGTGTTCTGAAATACTTAGCCTCAAAATTACAGCATTTTGACGTGATCTGTAGAGCATGGATGAACTGTATGTACATGCATACGTAGCACACCGAGCTTCATAAGGCTGTGCACAGTAAGATGGGTTTCCGTGTTATTTATGTATATATGTATACACATATTCATATACAAACTACATACTATTTGTCTTCAAAGGTACTGACGTGAATGCAAGGATATTTTCGGAGGGAGCCCTAAACTCTAGGTGCCCCGCCCCTTGGCGAAATCCTGGACCCGCCCCTGAAACCAGCGCGCAAAAAAACGTCTTTAAACGCCGCCGTATCGTTGGTGCCATGTAACTTAGTCCTATGATGACGTCACAACATCGCCAACCAATATGCGGTAATGCGGGGATTGATATTGTGCTGTTGGCCGCCAGCTTGTAAAAGAGTCGGAGCATAGGGCCCTAGTCGGAGCGTGGGGAGCGTGCGTTCCTCGTGCCTCAATAACCCTGTCGAAATGGATATACATGCGTTGCCTGAAACAGGGCATGATTCAGAAGTTCTCCCTGAAAATAATGTGGAAGAGCATGATGAACCATTTGACAACCACAGAGCTCAAGCACATCCAGAGGACCCTGCACTGTCACCAGGTGGGGGTGGCAGCAGTCATTTGCAGTCATTGACATCATGCCTACCCTCTCACCAACATGGTGAGGTGCCAGAGTGAGAAACAGTATGGTGTGTTAAACATATCTGGTGCAGGAACTATGATTCCGCAAAAATTTCAGTACATGTGCATAATGAACCTGAACACTCAGAGTTTGGTCCATAGTCAGCACTGATTTCAGCATATATGGGGTCGAAGCTTACAGGAATTTCCCACATTTCATGATGGGATTACTTTTATGTCAGTTATTAAACCAGTTAGTATCTTACAGGTTTAACAAAGAGATCTCCAACAATTGAAGACAACCCGAGCCTGAGGGTTCCGTTCAACCGTGGTAAGTTGTTTTTTTTGCATGTAAATGCAAGTCATTACAAATGTAGCTAAGTGATCAGGCAGTTTCAGGGTTCAAAGGGCTTTTCTGACATGCACTTGGTTGATAAGAACTACTCTGCTGCCAACAAATTCCATGACCCTGTGTTTCTGAGTAGAATTTATTATCAGTTGTCATTTGTTGGATAGAAGACATTGAGTAAGTGAGAAATGCAGCCAGTCTATTACTTGAAAGTTCTTCCACATAATTTTGTGAATATAATACCCAATGCCAATTTCTCTTTGCATGCCACCTGGGTGGTTGCTATGTGCTTGGGTGCTGCTATGATGTCTCAACAAAAAGTTTCATTCAAACTTGACTTATGCTGTTCCCCTATTGGGTGTTGAGCCAATTCTTGGCAAGCTTCCAGGCTTGATTCATGCTGAGCCAAGTCCAAAACTTGTGTAGCATTTAAGGACCTTTGCTGACATTTATCACAGGAATCTGTTTTCTCTGCATTGCAACTTTTGCATCACAAGTTTGTGATTTTGTAATGCATTGTGTTGCAGCTGTGAACATTATTACTCATTTGCAAAGCCCTGTGGTAATTCAAATTAGCCCAGGAGCTAGCTGAATGGAAACAGAGTACCATACAGAATACTATAAGCATGGGTTGAAGTACTGACTGTGGGAAGCACAGTGGCTGTGCAAAGCAAGCATGTTCCATGCCGCCTGCTCTGGGCAGCATGAAATTGTAGGCAAACCTTGGTGGTGGATCAGTGAAGTTTTTGCACTTTTTGTGATAGTCATATCTGTCATCAACATTCATGTCATAGATTACACCAAGCTGCAATGAAGCCTGGTGGAACATGAACACATGGTGGTCACATGGAATGTTTGAACATGGTATTGCCCCATGGCCATTGCAGTTGCTGGCACCTCATTTAAGGGTGTAGTGACGTGCATCTCGTTCAGCATGATTCTGCTCGCTCACCAGCCCGGCTGACTGCGACCTGCACCCGTCGCCCGACCCAGCCTCTCCGTGAAGGTGACCCTGTCCCGATATGTCGGCAGGCTGGCGGCGCGAGGTAGTTCAGCGAGCGTGCACCGACGAGCAGCGGCCCGGCCAGATCCGCGCCGATGCTTACTACTTCTCCCCCCGCGGCAAGAAGCTGCGGTCCATCAAGGAGGTCGATGCGTACCGTGAGTCGGCCTGCGAACAGGTTGACCCAAACGTGACTGTTGTCAGGTGTTTGATGGTTACTTCTAGCAGGAGGTATAAGTGACTATATTCTACTTGATCTAGCTGTAGCATCTTACTTGAGTGATGTCGGTGCAAGAAATGCTTTGGGGGCCTTTTTCTGCTCGCTCCTCCCGGGCTATCGGGACTTCAGGAAAGTGAACAGGTCGAGAAACATTGTCGAAATGCGCCATTGTCCTGTGCTATATCGTTGGTGAAGTCTGACGGGCCGCGGCTCTTCTCCGCAGTGAAGAAGACGGGTTCGAGCCTGGCCCTGGGATGTTTTTCGTTCAGCCGCCATCTTCTGGGCGTCGGACGGCCGCTCGAGCAGCTGCGCAAGGCGCGACCGGTGGTACCGACCGGCAGCCCCCATCCTGCGGGCGAGAAGGCCGCCGCCCCCGCCGGCAAGGTAGACCAGCTGCTGCTGCTGTGGTAGTGTGGTGTCTGCGGCCATAACTTCCCCCTCGCTCAATCAGTTAGAGCGTCTGCTTCCCGACATACCTGTGGTGGAATGGGTGAGTTCGAGTCGTTTCGACTGTGGCTATTTGCTGCTGCCTGAGATGGCCTGCTGCTGGTGTCGGTGCCAGTCAAGTAGGTCAGAGGGCAGGGTAGACCGTGCTAAGCTTTGCAGCATGTTAAGATTTTGCTATCAAATTCTGTGTTGAACCGGAATCCCGCGATGAGATGATGGGGTCGTGGATCGCACAACAAAACTGCTAAGCACGACCTCTTGTCCCAAAAATCCAACCAAGCAAAATGCTCAGGGGAAAATAGAAAAGAAGATGGCACCACAGTGGACAGATCCGACCAATGTTTGCATGCCCGACTGGGCTTGGGTAGCCGTGGAAGCGCCGGCACACCTGCAGCTTCACGTCACCGGCCTCGTGATGCAAATGTGTAGGTCTGGGGTATGCAGGCGTATGGTTGGTGAGTGTAGAGTGCTGGGTGCTGACACTGATATGTGGATGATTGCCCGCAGGTGCCAAGGAAGAACCATACCATCACAATTGGGTCGGCTTCATCTGTGATCAAGGTAAGCCAAGGCAGGGGCCAGGGAAACTGCCCATGAGTGAGCAACGCCCCTCCCCCCTTACGCGAGTCTGGCGTTTCCCTGTTCAGCATCAGCGCCATTCGTATTGGTTCAACGGTTTGCGTGCCCGAGTCGTCGCCACTCCTCCTACCTCCCTGAACTGGCAGTTTGCATCCTAAGCGCCATATCTGATAACAGCTCCAGTTGGAGTCCGGGGTAAAGGTACGCGTTATTGCTGAACCAGCGCTCGCCGGGCGCACGCTATTGCTATGATCTAGTGCTGGCCCACGTCACGCTGAAATTCATTTAGTGTCATGAGTGGACATTTGTCCCAATGTTTTCATCAGGGCTTGTTTTCAGGTTGTTGTGTATGCCTTGACCCCAGGGCCCCAACCCTGGGGTCAAGCTGGGTGCCAGTCGGTGAGTGCTAATTGCAGTCCTCCGAGCCCAGCGGCGCGCTGCTAGAAAGCGAACGTAAATGCGTGCCACGCAATGATCAGTGCAGAGCCCAAAATAAATGTGATATGTCTGAGTATCCCATGTCCCACCAACTGAGCCCCTGGGCTACATAGGCATATTCTTATGTGTCTTTCAAGTATATTTTTGTCGCGTTGTTAACTAGTCATGCGCGTGTGATTACTACGCCATAAATGATCTGCATTATCATAAGCTGCTTCATTGCTGCGTATATTTACCCGGCGGAGGGGTGTTAGTCACTACAAGTGCCATGTTGGGCTTGTTTCAGATTCCATCCGCGCCAGTGTCGCCACAGTCACTGCGAGTGCCATGTCCGGCTCGTTTCAGATTCCATCCGCTCCAGTGTCACAGTCACTGCGAGTTCCATGTTCGGCTCGTCTCAGATTCCATCCGCTCCAGTGTCACAGTCACTGCGAGTGCCGTGTTCGGCTCGTTTCAGATTCCATCCGCTCCAGCGTCACATCCAACTAAAGCGCCCCGGAAGCATTCACTGATGGAGAAGTCACGCAAGGCCTTTGTATGGAAGGCGATGGAGCTGAAAAAGAAGTTGCCTGTCTTTCAACCCGATATGTCCAAAGCCAAGGTATCAGGATTGAGCCCGCGTTTCATTTTAGCCAAGGTGTGAAGGATATTCCCGCATTTAATTCTCTATGTACTTAATGCAAAAGCATTGGAGTTCCTTCCCACATTTCATTTTTGGATAAAATTAGCATGCTCGCTGAACACGTGTTTGTAAATATCACAAAGCCCCCAGCGTTGACCTGAAAAACGGGTACCGTCACGAATGCGCCGTGGCCCGGTTGCCATGGTGACGCCAGGGCGTGCGTGTGCCGGCAGCCGGCGCCAACTGAACGCAGCCAGCCGGCGGCGTCCGCGGCGTCGTCCGGCTCTGACCCGCACCGTGTGTTAGTGCGGCGGCCGTGGCAGCTGGCCGAGGTGGACGAGCGCGGTCAAGTGTCGTGCCGCCAGCCGCCCGACGGGCCCACCACCGTCGAGTACTTCCGGCTGGTGCGCGCCACGGCCGCGCCGCACAGCGCCGACAACGTGCAGATCGGGTGAGGCGCCGCCGCCCAGAGAGACGGCGCCAGCTTATCCGGTGGCGGTCTCGAAGGGGGTTGCTGTACTGCACCACGTTTGAATCTTTCAGTCGTGCGCCGCGTTCAGTAAAAGCTGAAACAAGAAAGATCAAAAGCGACGCTTGTCGAAAGGGGTTTGTCCGGAATAATTTTTAAGTTACCTCTCGTTGCTGGAGTGATCAGGGTAGTTATTTCGATATATCCAGGCTGGCCACGTCCATAAATTTCGACGCATTGTCGGGAGACTGCAGGTAACATCCCACCGAGGTGCAAGTGACCTAACCCCGTCAGCCGAGCCGTGTCTGACCCTTGTCCCGGCGCGGCATGTCGCAGGCAGAGGCGGCCGCCGACGCCGTGCAGTCTGTTCTGCTTCTCGGCGGAGGGAGAGGCGCGGCCGGCACTGCCCTCCGTCCAGTGCCTGGTGTGTCGCTGCCTCTCACACGCCTCCTGCGTCGGGCTTGACGACGACGACAGGCTGTTCAGCTTTGTCTGCGTGGTGAGTGCGCCGCCGCGGTCTGCGCGGCCCCGCCGCCCGGCTCCTTCCGGGCTGGCGTGAACGGCTCGGTTACGGTGCTTTGCTTAGTGTTGCCGACTGGTTCACATGATGCGGGTAACTATTTTCGACGCTGTGAAGCCGGTGATAATATGATGCCGTGCGGA